TATTTTTTGAACACTGTTCTACCCTAGCGAAAATTAAAAAAAAAGTATATGTTATAGAGCATAGTAAGGATCATTGATTAAAAAAAACGTGGTAGGGTCTTTTAAAATATGTAACTTTTTTAATTTGTGATTTATCGTTATATGAATCACTGCGAAGACTTCAAAATATCTTATTTAATTTATCTTTGGAGTATTTACCGTTTGCAGAAAAGATCACAAAAAAAATATTGTTGTAAGTTTTTTTTTTAAATTCAATTAATTGCTTTATTTGATCAACTAGCGCATGTAGAGGGATGATAGCTTATGGAAATGTGCAAAACCATGCTTACCCTGCTATACTCTTTCTATCTTCAAGCGAGTTTATTTGTCGGTCTTAGATAATAATGTCTATTTCAATAAGAAGTTCCAAAAAAAATTTAATGTACAGATTCAGCTTAGTTACATTTTATTATACCTATGATTATACCTATATTTTATTATACCTATGTATAGATTACTAGTGACTCATCATCGCTTCGCTTCGGGTTCGTCCCTAGATAAAAACAAATCCATCTCACGGGAACCGTACATTTTTCCGTGATAAAAGTAACCTATGTGCTATTCCAGACTATAATCTATCTCTGTCCCTTTCACCCAGATCCGTTCAGCCATTCTGACGCGAGAAATTAACATTCATACATCCATCCTCACAAACTTTCACATTTATAATATTAGTAATTAGTATAGATGAATATTTTTATATTATACTAAAATGTCTTTTTTTATTCTTTACATTTTTTATGATTTTTTAACAAAACTATGACTAGATTTTGTAAATATCATCTAATTTTTTTTTAAATTATATTTTTAACTAATGAATAAACAAGATTAGACTATGAATGAATTTGGTTTCTTTCTGTAATTGCCTTAAGATCTTTTTTTTTTTTCAAAATATCAATAAATTTAACCCCAAAATTGATCAAAAACTTATAAAATATGGATGAATTTGAAAAAATAATAACATAAATAGATTCTACAGCAAAAATACAAAAGCACTGATATACTTTACATGAATTCCAATTTTTATTATTTTTTCAAGACTCATCAAATTGCAAAGTTGGAAAGTTTACGGCGAAATTGTTTTTATACAATAATTATTATATTTTATACAATAAATACAAAGTAAAAATTATCGATTTCTCAATTTTTTTTTAATTTTTAGGGGTGTTTTTACAGGACGACTATACAATGTTTTTACTTTTTCAAAAAATAGAGCTCAAGACGAAAAGAGTCAGCCTTATTTGAAAATTGAACGAAGAAATTTTTGAATGTAAAATTCCACCTGAAGTTGGGGGTGATTTTCAGCCTCTCAAGGCTAAACATTTCAACTTCATTTTTTTTATTTATTATATGTGTTTCGAAGACAACAATCCCTCAGTTTCATGAAAATCAAAAGATTTTTCTAGAAATTAAAAATAGAAAATCCAAGAAAAAGTTAAAAATCAAGTTTTCTGCAAACATCTCGAAAACTTTGAGGTTATTGTAAAAAGTGTTGCTTATAAAAGTTGTAGATTTTTAAATAAAACTATCTTTTCGGATTATTTCGCGGATTTATTTTGATTTTTGGTTCCCGACGTTTCGAATGCTTTACAGCATCTATGGTCACGGGAGAGACTGAGGTGTTACATGTCTTAAAGATATAGTTGTTACAGACAGCCTAGATTTTTACTAGACCTACAACTTTTGCAAAAATCATTTTTCGATAGAATGTCACAGTAAGCCGGAAATTAAAAAAAACTATTCTTCAACGCTTTGCGTCCCCCCATTTCTCGGGGGTAGCTGAGCTGGGCATCGGGGGAATTTCTTATATACCTGTTAACATTTTAAAATCATAAAACTTCAGGTTTTCAATATTTTTTTCCCAAACCGGATTCAGATTGGACTATATTAGTATGGAACGATATGTAATTGACGTAAGTATAAAATCACAAACACAAATGTCGGTCAATGCATAATTACACATTATCTACAGAGATATAATAGTTGAAAGGGACAAACGTGATCTCTATGTGATATTATTATTATTAACGCTTAATCAATTAAATTTTACTAGTTTGATTTAGATGAGACCAGATTCCGGTAGACTAAAATGATTTAAGTGAAATTATTATATTTAACTATTTATTAATTTCTTATTACCTTAGATATTATGTATGCGTATACCATATCCCATGTAATGTAAAAATTTTACTGTAGCAAAAATATAAAAATGTAGTATATAAAACTAAATTAAAAACGAAAATTTAATATTCGACTCCTGTTGAGTACTTACCTAATTTTTGAATCCTTGCGAAGTTTCCGTTAACAAATTTTAATGAAATTTTACACAGCACTACATAATATAATATAAAGTCCTCTCGCACGCGGAGTTTGTGTTTGTTTAGGCCAAGAAGGTAGGTTTTCACCAAGAAAAAGGTGCTGTAACTCCACTTATTTTTTACGGAGGTTATAGCCTCATACACATCGAACATATTACGAATATATGCTACCGGTATGATATTTGTGAATCAAGATCTCTTTAGGCAACAGGTGTATAGTCAAAATTGGTCAACAGCAAATTTGAAGGATCCGTACCATGGGACATTCATATTGTTGAAATTTTATGGAATTTTTTATATTAACTTGGTGGGATAAATACCTTTGTTTTTGTATTATGTTACTATGTGAAACAAAGTTAATTTGGGAGGGAAAGCGTGAAACGGAATATAACCCATATCTCTAAAATAACGTTGTACCTCTTTCAAAACCTTTTTCGGTAAAAGTATTTTGGAAGCTCGATTATCTCCAGTCTTTTTTTTTACTTAAAAAAAAAATAGTATTTAATATTTTATACTTTAAAAGTTAGTAGTGATGGACGATTGAACAATGTTTACGTCTTTAGAAGCGTATAAATTCGCATCTATATTTATATGAAATATATAAATATATTGTCATGAGAAGTCACCAATATATCAAAACATCATAGATATTTTAAATGAAAAATTATCATTCTTTCCGTCTTAGTTCCTATTTGAAACTTGGTCCTGTTCACTTTTATTTAAAAAAAAATTATAACATTTTAAAAATCATTTTCCTTTAAATATCTTGTATTTTACTTGCAGAATAGGCAATTTGTATTTAATCATATAATTTTTTTTTTTAATATGTGATTTAAGATAATTGCGGTTATTTTTGGCTAGGAAATCCGCCACTTATTTATCTTATATTATTTAATTAATCAACAAGTAATAGCGTGTGGTATGATTATAATAATTTAATATTCAGATATGGCATAAAAATGTCAATTTTTTATTGTAGGATGAAGGATCATCGCCGAATTTATAAAAATAAACTGTAATGTAAGTTTAAAATGGAATGTTTAACGCAACATGTAGTCTAGCTCTCAAACTTCTCCGCACGGATCGTAGGCGCAAAATCGGATATAGAAGCCACATTCAAATTCTTGTGAGGAAAGCCACCTTTGTGCTTCCATATCCGTAACAATTTTGGTTTTAAATCAAACATACAATACTGTCAACTGTGGATAGTAAGGGGTTCTTTAAAAAAACCCTAAGGCTTAGACGGGATAAGCATGTTTATGGTTGAACCTATAAACATGCTTATGGTTGTATACCTAAATAATAATGTCATATTGTCATTATTAAACAGCATTATTCGTGTTTTGACCTAATTAAAAAAATAACATGTACATACTCGTATATTCTGTCGCCTCGTTTGAACTTTAGGTGAACCACGGTTCTAATATAATATCTATAAAAACTTTTTAACAAAAAATAAAAACCGACTTCCAGGCACTAAAATGTAAAAATAACTAAACGGAGGTTTTCATTTAGAATAGATACCTAATCAGATATTTTCGAAGTCGGTGCCAGCCGATGCAAAGTAAATGTAATATATTTCGATATGTAAAATATGTATATTTACCTATTAAATATTCATATCTTAAAATATTGTAGGCTTTTGTACCGATTTTAACAAAATTTTGAGAAGTGATAACTTATTACTCGGGTCAACATGTAGGATACCTTTTACTTCAGGGAAATCTTTCTTTCCCACGTAAATGCACAATAACTCGTTCTATCGAGTAGTCTTCGGAGACCTTCCGCTGGATAAACCCTAAGACATACATCAAAACAATGTACTAGAAAATTGTAATTCTTGAAAAGACCCACAGAAAAATTGTAATAGTAAATGTCTATCTCCTAATGTACATACTCTAGGTATACTTATTTTTATCTATACATATAATAAAACAGTAACTTAGCGAAATTGATGTGTGCCTTTTTCGCAAAAAGTAGAAGGGAAGGCTAAAACCAATTGTAGCAAAGCTCAAAGACCGTAAGTTAAAAGATGAAATACTATCTGGACTACGAAGACACAAAGGTATTAATACAACAGATATAGGGCTAGGTAACGATAACAAAAAGATATTTATAAATGAACATCTAACACCAGATAATAAATCCCTGCTTAAGAGTGTTAAGTCCTTAGCTAGAGACAATGCTTTCAAATATGTATGGGTCAGAAATTGTAACATTTTTTTAAGAAAAAACGAAGAATCACCAGTTATTTACATAAGCTCCCAAGAAGATCTAAAGAAAATTATTTAGAGATATATATATTTTTTATATTATTGATTAACCTAGTATTTTCTCTTAATTTTATTTTGTCTATGTTTATTACATATTATTTGTGTAAGAGATATGCACATCGTATATACTTTACTTATTCGATTCATAACTCAATTTATACACCATACACCTCAACTCATATACCACACACCTCGACTCACACACCACACACCTTACAACCTAACTCATTACACACAAACTACGTGTTAGTATACAGTTCTCATGTACACCTCACCTTTTAACTCTCAAAGACAAGGTTTATAAAATACCTCTAACAGTTATATATTACAGATGTTGTCAAAATTGTATTACTTACATATTCACTATTGCATGATGACCAAACCAATTGAATTGCCCTATCAAATAACACGAGGCTTAAGGACGAAATGTGAAGAATTTAAGCAAAATATATTAAGCAATGATTTCGCCTTAATTTTAGTTACTGAATCATGGTTTTCTGATGACTTCTACAATGGCGAGATATGCGACGATCGATACGATATTTTCAGATATGATCGTAAGAAGGGAACATCTTCCAAGAACATTGGTGGAGGGGTCTTATTATGCGCATTAAAGATTTTACAAGTACAACATCGATCTGAATGGACATGCCCTACTGTTGAATCACTTTGGGTAACTATCCCTTCCAGTTAAATCTACAGTCACAATAATAAAGATCTTCATCACACAAACGCATACACATACACCCACACACACACATACATACGTACACACACGCACATACATGTAAACACATTATGTTTGATGTGCATATCATTAGTATGATCAATTTAATTTATTCAGACTTCTTTTTTCCATTATCAATATATGAGTACTCTGTTGTCTAATACATATACTATTATATCTAATAGAGTAATCTAATCTTGGCCATATTTAATAATAACTTTGTGCTCTAACTGTATATCAACAATATTATAACGCTGTAAGATTACCAAGAAATAAATAAATAAATAAATTAACTAAATTTTGTGAAGTGAATACTTATTACTCGTGTTAACATTTAGGATACCTTTTACGACGGAAAATCTTTCATTCCCACGAGAAAACACAATAATTGGTTCTATCTGGGGTCGTCCTTAGAAATGTATATGGCTAAAGCTGGCTAAACCTAAAAATATACCTCAAAACAATGTACTAGAAAATTGAAGGTCTTAAAAAAGACTACCGGAAAGTCTGCAATAGTATAGGTCTATTTCCTAAATTAAACTCGCAATACTTATTTTCATCTAAACATTTATACATATGTATAATAAAACAGAAACTTAGTGAGAACTTAGTGAAACGATTTTAACTTTTGGTGTAATGATAACTTATTAATCGGGTCAACATTAAGGATACTTTTTGGCACCGACTTCGAAAATGATTAGGTAGGTATCTAATCGAAATGGAAACTCCCGTTTAGTTATTTTTTACATTTTAGTGCTTGAAAGTCGGTTATTATTATTTTTTTATTTTCAGCAATTAGATAAGGCAATATCAATATTATTATTTAAGACCATCCTTGATAACAGCGTAAATTGATTGTTCTTATGATCTATCTATATTTAGGTATGCAACTGTAGTCCGCAAAGGACGTACAAATCATTTATCGTACGAATCGTAGCCGCGCTGGTTGTTTTTAAAGTGTTGTTGCAGAAATAAAATAACATGTTGAAAAGCAGTAACTTTTTACTTACTGTAAGATTGTGGTTTTACGGCTTCGCCACTTTTCATTTAATATTTGTTGCGATTATGGTCTTGCCAATTGATATGTCAAAAGATGAAGACCCTAGGGTCAGTGTGTACATTCGAGTGCGATGGAAGCTTATCACATGTTGGTTTAATGTAAGTGTTACCAGCATTTTTTGTTCTTTTAAAAATTTTTCAAACATCAACCATATGTATACAAATTATAAATGTATGAATGTTAATTATAATTACATATAATATGATACATTTGAATGATAATTTATAACTTCGGTACACACTACACATCTACATATTATGTATGTCTATGAAAGCATGCATCTGCGGTGTTATACTAAATATACTAATATTGTTTTTAACAAAGTTAATAATATAAATGTGTACTGGTTATTATAATGGTTTTAAAATAATTTATTGTTTAGAATTATAATTCTGTCTATGCTTTTTATGAGAAATAAATGTAAGAAATTTTCAATTGGTTTAGTTAAATACTTGAGTAGGTACCTACGTCACTTGATTATTTTTATTAGAATTTTGTTTTAATAATTTTGTGTATGGGCAAAAATTGCAAAAAGAAAAATTTCAAAAAAAGTGAAAGTCCTTTTTTAAGAACTTCCTATGAGTTCGTCTCAGACCAATAAAATACTTTTTTTACTGGTCTGAGGAGTTAGTAAAGAAAATTCTTGAAATTTGGACAGGACAACATGTGCTAGGTTGCGCAGACATTCGTCAAATACTAGATTGGTCAAATTAGAGTCAGCTAGTAATACATACGATCCCTAAGAAAACTTCGAGATATTCCTTGCTTATATTCTTATATTCAGTACTTTTATAATCGTCAGTGAGTTACATAATTTATAACTATAATTTTCAGTATTACAGACAATTTGTGGTACCGACATCTCCGTGCAAAAGCGCGGGAAACAAATGAAAATCCGAGCATTTTTTTTAAAACACATTCCTATCGGCCAAGGTCACATAACTAAAGGCCTTATAATATATAAATCATTACAAATTAACCAAATACATTATTTTCTATCAAAATACTCAATATATAAAATGCAACCGTACACTATTATATAATATACTAGGACTTATTTCAAATTTTCTTACGAGAAAGATGCTTACAATAAGATATAGGTATTTACTAAAAATCATAACATTAATAAGTTTATTATGTTATACATTAATTATACTCGTAGAGTAAAGATACAAATATTTCCTATTTTAATAACTTTGACATTTTAAATTAAACTTATTTAGGTAACATTGTAGTATTATGTCAACATTGTTTGATTGTATTTATTTGACATTGAAGTGTAGTAACAGTTTTATATTTCGACGAGACGCGACTTCCATGATACGTGTTTAGATTTAAAGAATTGTTTATTTGCTTGTGACGTGTTCTTGACAACACTATTTAATAAATTGTTATTCATTAATGAGAGTTTCTTGTTCCAATTAATGATAAAAACTTAAAAAAATAATAATAACCTACTTCCAGGCACTAAAAAGTAAAAAATAACTAAACGGGGGTTTTTATTTAGAATAGATAGTAAATACCTAATCAGATATTTTTGAAGTCGGTGCTAGCCAATACAAATCAAAGCACAGGTTTTTTTTAAGTTTTTTCCCCCATTTTTAGTGTAGACTGTAGACGTAATAAACATGTAACTTGTAAGAAGAAATTTCTTTTAATACCATATTCGATTAAGCCATTTATTCAAAAATAATTTACTTCTTTGGCGTAACAGAACAAAAATAGCGAAAGATTTCACCTGTATGTCACAACTCTCTCTTTGTAAAAGGAATGATATATTAATAAAAAAATGAAATAAGGCATATTAGGCATATTACTCGTACAACCAAATATCATCAAAACCATTAATATGTGAAGCAAAAACTTTGAACCCTTTTTACGAATATTGCGCGGTTATTTATTATTTTATTTTGCTACAAATATTCAACGTTGTTTTTTAGCGAAACCATCTTTAAATTTTAACTAACAGTGTAAAAATTGCTAATACGATGAAAGACCCCCCCAACGTGCGTTCACCTTGTCGTGGTCTGGGGCTCAGTAGTGCCCGGTAATCCAACCGGGCGCGAAGCCAAGAAACGCACAGGGAGGTGGCCCATTTCGGAGGGCGGTGTACTATGCGGGTTGCTCCTGGTACTTCTTTGATAGCAGAGTGGACCTTGGAGCAACCTCATGGTTGTTGTGGTCTGCTTCGGCTGACCTGCCGTCGGGGCGTCGTAGTTGAATGCGTAAGCTATCCTGCGACGCCCCATTAAGACGGCGGAAGGTTTGTTGGGTTTTAGTGGGTAGTACTGGCTTTGCGGGTGAGTCCCACACCTCGTGCGTAAATGCATTTCCCAACGTTAAAAATAAGGTTAAAAGTAAGGTTAAAAATAAAAGTGCCTTGCGTCCGTTATGCTAGTTATCTTCCACCTTGAATTTATTCCTTTTAAAATTCCATGTCAATCTCATGTGAAATTTTTAACGGTTGTAAACAAACCATGTATCCATAACACCTAAGAGAGCTACATACATTAATCTAAGCTACATGTAAATATTTATTACCAATTTAATAAAAAAAATACGTAAATCGGACTCATATCAACTGGCAATCATAAAATTGATGAAATACATTTTGCACACACTCGGGTATCAGGCGACATACATAATATGTAGGTACTAAGTACATATTATATTATTTTATATGTATATATATATTGTACGGATGAATTGATAAAATTGCCAACCAAACTATACTAACTGAATTATAAATGATTACTTATAATTAAATTATGCACTCCAATAAAATTATTATGTGTTTACAATATTTAGCGAAAATGGTGCTTATGTTTGATTTCTTAAAGTTTATATTTCGTAAACTTTTATATTGTTTGAAATATTGTTATCAAGCTAGTAGTTGATTGTAGGACAATAAGTCAATTATTATTATCAGAACACTGTAACTTTTGCCTTCAACATATTCCCATCAATCAACAAAAAATTGAGTTTACTATCGTTTTAGAATCTGCATAAAGTAGGCATGTTTTTTAATCTATCGGCCACCCTGGTCACCATAAGTTTTTTTTATACCGCAGACTCAAACTTCGTCATTGTAAAATCGAAAATTTATTTTTTTTGTTTTTAAGTATTTCAAAATAAAAAAAACAGTTGCACCTAGAAACATTTTGTAATGCGCGATGGCAAAGCCACGCCATTCACGGATATTTCCAGAGAAAATCAATTGGTTATTAATAAATTTGTAGCCATAGTACTCAATAGTGTTAACGGGAGTATCAAATTTCATACCTACTTTTTTTTTAGAAGTATTTTTTTCTAAATGCTGCAGATATATCTTTTATTTTATTTTTTTCTGAGTGGTCGAGGTGGCCCCCACTAGTACCAGCGGGGTTATCCATTACTTACCGGACACCCTGTAGAAAGGATTGATTTCCTTCCACCCTCTTAAGATAACTTAAGATAAAAACTATCCTATGTCCTTCCCAGGTCTCAAACTATCTCCATACCAAATTTCCTCTAAATTGGTTCAGCGGATTAAGTGTGAAAAGGAATCAGCCAGATAGACAGAATAAATTTCGCATTTATAATATTAATTTGGTTTAATTATAATCTATTGCTTTTTTTATTTTGATTAATTATATATTTTTGTTATTTAAGCATATAAACACTAATTTCAATGTAATCAGGTTCCTTGAAAAATAAGTCATGAATAGTCCATGACTTTGAAATTACATTTTGTATTTTGTGAATGACAGATAAAGTGAAAGTACATTGGCCTTTCGAATTAATTTGTTAATAAGGTTATTAGTAATAATTATATTTTGATAATGACAATAGAAATGAAATGATAAATGATTATTAGTATTTATGATTGATTGAAACCGCAGTCCACGAGGCTGAACAAAACTGTAGGCGAATTTCAATTTGAAACGAACTTTTTCCTCTTTCGAAAACTACTTTGGTTCTTCCAGAGCTGCAGATTTCCTTACGATGTTTACCTTCGCCGTATTAGAAAATGGTAATCATGTTGAAAATAATTCACATTTGAAAATTTTAGAGGCGCTGGGTTTGAACCCGCTTCACTTGGTTTGCAAAGCCAATATATTACTAACTGGCTATTACTGCTTGTAACTAATAAGTTATCTGTGGTAGGTATAATTTGTCCTCGAGTCGTAGCTTTCAGCGAAGTACTTTTAATACTTAGTCTAATAACTCAATCTTACATGATCTTCCCTCATCGAATTTTGTAATAAAATTAATATTTTATAATGTTTAATTAAATAAAATATAGTATTGCCTAAATGTATAGGGGCTATTTTTGATTATAAATTATTTAATTAGATAAATTATTTAATAAGCATGGTAATTTAGTTTTTTTATTTGTAGTAAAAAAGTTTAAAAACAAAAAGTTAGGTTGCCTATCATTTACAAACCCCGCCGTTTATCAGATTGTAAGGTTAACAGGTAAGTTTCATATAAAACGTAGATGTTTTTATTCTGAAAACGGTGTCACGGGGTTTAGCGAAAGTTCGCGGACATCACGGATTGTCACGATTTTACGTTGAAATCATGAACGAATTAACCACTGGACCAGACATATAAGCGGACGTACCTTTAACGGTCATGTCTGTAACCAGGGAATTTTAGCCTAGGTCGTTTGTTTTTTGTGTCAGTCTCAAGCACTTACTTGTCAACAAAACATCTCCCAAAAATGACTAAATGTTCTGTTAAATGGTGTAAAAACTATAACGGCGGAAGCAGCACTATTTCTTTTCACTTGTAAATACATTATTTTATTACATTTATTGTTATTTATCACAAAATTTAATTAAATATAAAATAAAATGTCATATTATCCAACTATGTTAAATATAGTCGATATTTCTATGTATTGTTGACATCTGACAACCATCATAAAATAGCTGGATTATACCATTCAGAACAAATGACGAAACTGTCGAGTGAGTCCATTTCTGCCCTCCCGAACCTAAAGTGCAGTAACAGCAAAAACACGAATTCGAGAAAAACGCGCTTAAAGTTTAGAATCCATAAAAATATATCAAAAAGAGACTTTTCGATAAAACCTTGAATGGAAAGTGAAAGAATATGTACCAAACTAAAATACTAAACATTGTTACGTTAGTTTTTTTTATAAAAAACTATAATTATGGCAATTTTAATTTTTTTGCCCCTATTACTACACACACTTTATTTGTATAATCTTTTCAAAAACTGTTTTAAATGCAGTAAATCCTGTTATTACTGCATTTTAGACATTTCTTCCATGATTGTTACTAACTAAAGTGCAGTAATATTATGAAAATACTGCTATTTAATCTGTTTTTTTGAACAAAACACTGATATTCCACACTTATAGTAATATAAAATTACCTTTAATTTTGATAAAAATATGTAATTTCTTAAACAAAACTGGACATGCATTTATGACTATGACTATTAAAACTATTCATCAAAACATTGTACATTATAATCTAATAGTGTAAATTATTTTATATGACTAACAATATAACAATCTTTACAAGATGTTGATAATCTTAACTAGTTAATCCACCATAAAACTATATCACATGTATTTCTCATGCATGGATCAATAAAATTTACATAAAATCTTTCTTCCGAACATAACTAATTACTAAATGAGTATTCTTGTCTTACAAAAATAATAGTCTGAAAAGATTATGGAAGGGAGAACTAAGGAGAATTAACTTATATGGGAAACAGGTTGAAAAAGTGTCCAGTAGTGAGCAGCAAATTATAGCTCAGAAACTCACCGTTAAGCCTAGTTCGCATTAAGCTAGTATTTTAGTCTAGTAGCGAGTAATTTAGTAAATAAACGTGTCTGAACACTAAAAATTTCGTCGATTAGTTTAGTAAGTAATTTAGTCGAGTCAATCCATTTTATTCTATTTTTTTGGGCGAGTAGCAGCCCCCACCACGCGTCCGAGCTCACTGGTTCACCGGCTAAACAAGTACGAACCTGTCGAATTAGTCGAGTTCATTAGTTGCCGCCATAACATTCATTAACAGAAAATTTACACAACTTTCGGACATTCTTAAACTATCGAAGTATTCTTTGGGATCTTCCAATGCTAATTCCTTCAGAAGACAATTAGTAGCTCCTAGTTTATCTTGTCTTTCGATCTATTTTCGTACCCATAGCTTCTTTTTATTAATCACACAAATTTCCTCATCCACCTCTTCTAAAATAGCCGTTACGATCAGCTTAATCAGTTTATTTACTTTATTGCGTTGTGGGCTGTTCATCTTGCAAAACACCACTCACTTGTAAACTGTACTCGACCAAAGTGCGAACGATTTTTGGTGAGTAGCGATTAATTTAGCTACTAAATTACTCGCTACTAGACTAAAATACTAGCTTAATGCGAACTAGGCTTTACAGCACTAGCGTAGCAAGTAGATGTGATGTGAAGTTAGTAGTTTTTAACGGAGTGAAGTGTGCTGAATTATTATTACTTGAAAATAATATATAATTATATTGCTGTTTGCCTATGCTAGAACTATTTAGAAAAGTGCGCCACAGCAAAGCGGAAATCTTTCTTTCCTTGTTTAATTCACCTTCTTACTTTTATGACGCTATGTTTTAAACTAGCGACTCACCCTCGCCTCACTCGTCCCTGGATACTTTTTTTTGAGCGGAACTCTAATTCTTTTTTTTAAATAAAAGTAGCTTATATTACTCCCTATAACATCAGTTACCTTCCACTGAAAGTCCGTCAAAATCAGTCCAGCCGTTTCAGAGATTATTCGGAACAAACAGACAGACAATTTTTTTTAAAAATTAGTTTTTCTTATAAGTATCGTATATAATTTCATATGCATTTAGTAAAAAGGTTTATTTTGACATTACAAACAGACACTACAATTTTATTTATCTGTATAGATGTATAGATTCATATACTTGTTTTCTGTGGCGCCACCAATTTAATGCTTGTCAGCGGTCACTTTTTATACGAGAAATAGTTCTCCTTAGTTCTACCCTCCATATCTCTTTGGTACAGACACAGCATGGCACGTCAAGTCAGCCTTAAGCCACAGATTAAGGAGACTGCCTCAAACCGCGATATTGCCTGTCCTGTGTTTTAATATTTTAATAATTTTACCTATTAAAACGCAGTATTAGGGAATAGTATTTGACTTTAAGTATTTTAGGTAGTATGAATTGGATGAAGCAAACTAACTAATATGCAGTAAAATTTATAAATATTGTAAACTAAATGGTCTTTTACAAGCAACTACAAAACATCCTACAAGTTAAACTGCAGTAAAGTTATTAAATACTGCATGTCTTTTAGTTTTTCACAAGAAATTACAAAATCCCCCACAAGTTAATGTGCAGTATGGAATGTTAATACTGCACTTTAATTAGGAATATAAATAAAAAATATTTTTTCTTAACCTTTGCAGTATAATCAATTTGTATAGAGTCGAATAATACTGCATTTTAATAAGTTTTTTCTTGAATCTCCTAGAACAAACTACTATTTTAAGTGCCACAAAATATGATAAAACACTGCAGTTTAGTTAGGAAACAGAGAAAAATCTTGTGCAGTATTAATTGTACTGCGGTTTAGCTGGTAAACATGGAATATTTTAACAGATTTGTGATATTTTTGCTGTTACACCTTCCGAAAAAACATTAAAATAAAATACTTTTATTAGCGCTACAGAAAAAAGAATTAATTTGACTGATAGCTACTAAAATGGGGATTTAGAATATATATTTAACTCAAAACCGACCAAAATGTCTATTACTGCACTTTAGGCTCAGGTGGGCAGATTTGACATCGACTAGTGCTTGACAATGTCGAAAAATATGTCGATATTTGACGAAATAACTGAACGAATTGTGTTATTTGTACAGTACAATAACATAAAATACTTTTATCAGAGTATCCTACAATCTGATGATAATAAATTTATAAAAATATTTTCTAAATCACATAAAAATATAAATGCAAAAATTATAATTAGTATGTGTACTTAATTTTTTATTTTATTTTATACCACATTTATATAATTTGGAATATTATTCTATTGTAATAATAATAAAGATAATTTTATTTCAACACATAAATTACACAAAATCAAACAATAATGTTTTAGCACTAAACTTCTGGGTTGGCGATTTGTAATAAAACACTTTACCACTTGCACTAATTATTTTACTTTCACGATCCAACACTCACTTTTTCACAATTTGCAATCACTTTTTCTTTTTCCTAATCTTACAAATGTTTATTAAGAACTGAGCAATATTAGGACAGTGTCACATTTTTATAGCTACCCGAGACAATCAATTGCCAATTAAAATAGTTCAATAACAGAATCAACAAAATCACTTTATTTAATTAAATTAGCTTAATATATTTTTAATCTTTACAAAATAATATTTTCTTATATATTAATGAAATATAAACACCCGATATTAATTTATTCATTAACATTATTATAGGCTAACAGAATGTTGCCATCAATGCCATCGTATTTATATAAATCAAATTAAAAAATAATTATTATTTGACACATTATTATTGCCTCTTTAATTCATTTATTTTAATTTATTATAATAAATACAGATATTTTAAATTAAAAGATGTAAAATATGATGACTATGCTTACAAATGTCTAAAATGTCATTCATTGGTTCATCGATATATGTATTTTATCGATTACGTTCAAGCACTAGAAATATTGTATTGTGTATCAGTGTTTATAATAATGTAATAAAATCTTTGTGTGCGTTATGCGTCACTTGGTTGAACTAGTTTTCATACATTTGTATTTTATGTCAGGTCCAGTCTCTAATTCGTCCATGGTTGAAATCATGAACGAATTAACCAATTCGTCCATGGTTGAAATAATTGACTAAGCGTAGTTAGTACTATGAAAAGTAAGAAAAACTAAATTGACCTATAGAATGGAGTCTGGATGCGTTAAATACTGTGCTAATGATTATTCATCCGGACGTACGTCCTTTTGAACATTCTGAAATTGAATATTTGGTTGCAGAGGAATGCCTAACTATATGTATCCATATGTATCGACAAAATGCTTTGAGTGCAAAATCAACGTGGTTACGGTTGTTGAAAGATGTGCATCGGACTAACTATATAAAATAATTATTTCATTAAAAAAATACATGAGAAAAACCGGGATCTTGCACTATAATAAATTGAAAAGAACATTTTTAATTTATTTTGGGCATTTGTTTTGTAGTAAATTAATCATAAAAACTATTTATCTATAGTATAATATTTTATTTCTAGCTTATAAGTTTGGCTTACTTCCCGATTTGTTTCTATTGTGATTGGAAAGAAAAACACGGCAAATGGGATGAGAAACGAGTGAAAACGTTTAGGATAATAAGGGATAATATAATGACAACTATTTTGTTCCCAGTTACAATGGTAAGGACAACTCATAATTTAAATTTTAAAACAAGTAAGATAAGTAGAGTTACGAAAACTTCAAAATGTTCAACAGTTACTGTTGTACTTGTTGTTTAAAATGCAGGCCTTTCCAGCGTCCTGTCGTCAACTACAAATGTATAAGTAAATAAATATGTGACGGATATAAAAGTCAGTGTAGAGCCAGAGCCCTGTAAAATTTTTCTTTTGTTAAAATAGAACAATCATACATACAATAATACGTATAAAAAATTGTTTCTTTCATCATCTATATCTATAAATATAATAAAATTCTAACGAAGTCAAATCTGTACATTAAATATTTTTTAGAAAATCTTATTGAAATAGACATTATTATCGATACAGAGCCTGAATCTATAGTTTTTAGAATTTTTGTCTGTCTGTCTGTCTGTCTGTCTGTCTCTCTGTCTGTTACCGCATCACAGAAAAACTACTGGACGGATTTTGACGAAATTTGGTATGGTCATAGCTGATTATCCGGGTCAACATATAGGATACTTTTTACCGCAGAAAAATATCTCATTTCAGAGAAAAAATACAAAAACTGGTTAGAATAAAAAACGATGATACTATATAGATTTTAGCAAGTTAACCTATTAAATATTTCAAAAACTATTAAAAATAGCTAATCTTGAAAAAGTATATCAATAGCACTATTTTATTCATTAAAAATTATTTTAATAAATATTTATTTTTGTATTATTTAGATATTTGTCAATAGATGTCGCCATGTGTCTTTAAAATACGTAGTTTTAGTTGATGATTTTATTAGAATTACTACTAAATTACCCGCGGCCCCGCCCGTGTTTAAATTATCAAAAAACAATATTTTTGGCTTTATAAGTTAGTTACATCTATAGATACATTAAAATTTAATGAAGCAGTATCTGTGCTTTAAATATTTTTTGGAAAATTTTATAGAACACATTATTATCATTATTACACATTATTATCGCTAACAGAAGCCGAACCTAAAGTTTTAAGAATTTTTGTCTTATAAAATCACAAAAAAATCACTGGAGGGATTTTGAAGAAATTTGGTAATGTAATAGCTGGTTATCCGGGTCAACTAATATACTAATACGAGTATACTAATATATAAAACTTAAGAATTTGGTTTTGGTCATATGAACACGGGCGGAGCCGCGGGCAATGCAAGTTGATACATAGTGACATAAATCAAACTATAGAGCGCGATACACTTATATTGACTGATGCTATTTTAAAACAACATATACATTCAACGATATTATGAAACGCTCGTCTGACGCACAAGTGGTCTATTTGCTAATGCCAGAAGTCACAAGTTCACATGGTTAGGTTCCAGATATCACTGTTTATAAAATAAGAATACTAGTAGATATCCAGTAAATGATAATAATAACAATAACAATCCAGTGCATTAAAACAATAATCTCTTATCTAGAAGCTTGAACCAGCTTCAATCGCTCACGAATAGAAATATAAAAAAATATTGGAATGGCAAATTATAATTCTCTGGCATAACGCTTCAATTTGTTTATTGTAAAATTTTCATTCGGAAATAACGATGGAATGTCATTTTTAATCTATATAGTAGCCCAAAATTTTACCCGTAAGGTGAAGGTGATTCAACATAGATGTCCTCTGTTGCTAGGAAAGCTTCTCAAAAGAGAAGAAACAGTAACGTCGTTTGGTGGTTAGAGACTGGTTCGTCGCAAGCTATAGAGTAGGTATTCTAAAATACTACTTTAGTTGGTTTTGCTATTCATCAAACATTTCTATCGATGCTATTTTCATTTAATTTAGAGGACTAGGTACAATATACATATTTACATACATATATGTATGTAAACATGGCAAACAATAAATCTCCAATTTAAAAACATCAGACCTTTAAATGTAAAAACTTTCTTTACAGATGAAGATCCGTTTCTGTTTATTTCGTGTAATTTGGAGTACTTCATAATATATATTTTTTGGGTTTGGAATATTTATTAAAAACTGAGCTAAAAATCATTTTTCAGGGCCTCAGTGGCTTTAACTTCTTTTATATTTTATCCGTTGTTATGTTGTTTCCTTGCATAGTGTAGAAATGTGACTGGCACTGCTTAATGTGAGAGATATAGACCATGGTTAAAAACCAAAAGTGGAAATCAGAGATCTGTTATATAATAGGTATACTAGCGATTTACCCACGCTCCGCTCGAGTTCGTCCCTAGGCACGTTTTAACGGTTAGTATAGATTTTTCAGAGATGAGATATTTTCCAGAAGTAAGAAGTATCCTATATGTCGACCCGGATAACCAGCTATCATTATACCAAATTTCATCAAAATCTCTGCAATGTTTTTTCCGCGATGCGGTCACAGACAGACAGACAAAAATTCTAAAAACTATAGATTTGCCCTCTGTATCAATAATAATAATATATTCTTTATTCAAGTGACCAGTGACTCATTATGGTTAGTAAACAATATTTCTTAGAGACTAGGTTAGTTGTATCATTACATTTTTTTTTAATAAATATTACAATACACACGAATCACAGCTGCACCATTCCGTTTGCAACGGCACAGCAACGATTCATGTATATGCAATCCAGTCTATGATATATAATGACTATGTGAATAAGATTTTCCAACAAAATATTTAATGTACAGATTTGATACAGTTAGAATTTTATTTTACATGTAAGCACTGCATATAAATAATACTTATTTCTTATTGAAAAACAATAGGAGCTGCAAAATTTACCTACATGATATGCAAAATAAAATTTTATTTATTAAAATATATGATGATATTTTTAAGGAATCTTTATTAATTTCAGTATAGTGACGTGACTTTTTGGGCATTGTGGATGAAAGATCCAGCTCTAATAGCGCCTGTGTCTATATTTGTGTATCTCCCAATATGGGCACAGCACTCTTTGCACACTGTGTCAGCTGTGATGATTGTCTTGGATCTCTTACTGTTGCCCCGAAGACGACCGCATAATTTATTAGCGGGTATGTGCGGTGTTCTAGCTTTCGCCGTTGTATATTCCGCTGTGTAAGTAATTTTTATTTAATTTTATGTCTGTTATTATCTAATTTATTAATATATGTAACATATAAACATACTAGCGAGGAAAACAAGAACAAAACCTATCCCACGGGGACCGTACATTTTTCCGGCATAAAAAGTGGCCTATGTGTTGTTCCAGACTACTTACTAGGATACATACTTTTTATTCCGGAAATCATCGCTTAAAGGGGTGAAAATGGGGATGAAAGTTTGTATGGAGAATCAAGCTAGGGACGAACCCGAGTAATATAATAGTATTTATAAAATATTAGTCTTAGGGATGTATTAAAGTCTAATTAGTAGTTTCATGATTTCGACATTTGTTGCAAAACTGAACTTTTAATATCATTAATATTCAAGATAACGTTTTTACACAATCATAAAAATATAGCGTAAATATACTAATTATGATTTTGAAAGTTAATTTCAATAGTCATATTAAAGAAAACAAAAAAGGAAAATTTAACAAACATGTTTTTGGCAAGTACCTATTTCACGAATGAATGAACTATGCAAATATGTCTAGGTCTATCTATAGTAAAATATCTTATTTATTTTCGTCAAAATCATTATTCGATCAACATAAACTATAAAGGATTAAAAATATATAGAAGTAGAACGTCTACATTTTCAATACCTCTTAATTATTTCGATCACGTACTGTTGATTATTACGTAAAGTCGAAGGTTACAAAGTAATATGCAAGTGAGTACATACTAACTATTTAAGTACGTGCTTCCAGCTTACATCTAGCGAGAGAGATATTTCAGTTTTTAAAACAGTAGAATAATTATCCCGTTGGTATCGCACTCTGCTGGAAAACCAAGGAAAGCCTCTGAAATTTTATATGCTAATCTCGTTTTAAACATGATCATTTATATGAAAAATCAAAAGAGGCAACTTGCATGCTTAAAAGAATATACTAATTTTTGAAAGATGTGTGAAGTTCATCATTTGGCCAGCGTGGAAGATTATGGTCAAATGTGAAAAAACTCGTACCTACAAATAAACTGAATATTTATTTTATTTATTGTTTTATAACTTCTTATGATTAAAAAAAATGAAAATAAAAATCAATAATTGATTTTAATTCTCACTCAGTTCATGATATGATAGGATAGGATGAGACTTATTTCACAAATTGGCACATGTTATAAATTACAATTCCATTTAATTCATTTCAATTTTCTTGCCAGTTGAGCACAGATTAAGTACTTCGCCAATGTCACGTAAAAATGTTATAAAGTAACGAAAAAAGAAGAAAACAGTAAAAAAGTACTAAATATATATATATATATATATATATATATATATATATATATATATATATATACATATAACATTAAAAACTTACGAAAGGCACGTTGGATGAATAAAAAATTTAAAAAGACGAATTGAACATCTAAATATTTTTTTCTCTTTAATAATCAAATATGTGACGAAGGATTTGCTAGTTTCCTTGATGTTACTTCCATATCTGACCGCGCGATGTTCGATTAGTACGCAGATGGGAACAAGGACATTTGTTAGATTCCTTTGTGGTATGGTAACATAATCAATGTTAAAGGTCAATAGTTTCGATCGTCACAATATGAGAGCGCTTACTTTAGCCACGGTAATGTAATGCATATCACCGTGCTTTAGCTATTGTTTATCTATACATACAATAAAACTGTAGTGGTCGAATGTCTGTACATAAAAAAATGCTAAAAACGAAATCAGGGGGATGTAAGAAGAGAAATAGAACAAATTCAGTTTTTTTTTAAATTTATTGATTCTCTGTCTGTCTGTCTGTCTGTCTGTTTGTACGGGCTAATCTCCGAAACTGTTGGAACAATTTAAATGACTTTATGCATTGTGGTACTTTATATTCCCGGTCAATATTTTAGATACTTTTCATCCCGGAAAATTAAACAATTCCCCTGGGATTGGTAGAAAAACTATAGTAACTTATACAGCTTAGTACATAAGAACTACTGATTCAATTTTAATGAAAATTTACAATAACATAGTTCATACAGCAGATTAACAAATAGGCTACTTTTTATTCCAGAAAAATGTATGGTTCCCGTGGAAAGTCACCCCCCCCCCTTCCCCCCACCAAATCACGTGTATTTTTTTGGTACAAAGTATTATAAAAATTTCAGAACATTACTTTAAATACAGGTTAAATCTAATTTAATTCTAGAAAATTATGCACCGTGATAAAAATGCGAGACCTTCTCCAGGCTTCTTAATACAAAGAAAGAACGACGAACGACAAAGTTCAACGAAAAATTAAATACACGGTATATCTCACTACAGCCCCCGACCATTGTAATATTTAGTGATTTCTTCCGAACATTATCAGTTTAAAATTTTTAAAATAAAAAATAAAAGTACACCTTGGTTCTAACTTTTGCTAACTATTTTTTTTTGTGTAAATTTATTTACGTATTTTGTTTTAAGTGCAATAAAGAATATAATTTTAGTAGCTTCTGTTAATAACTTTTTTTGTTTGCAGGTTGGCAGTGAGTTATTTTCAAGGAGAAATTGTATATAGTTTATTTGAGGTGTTAAATAACTTACAACTTACATTATTCGTAATATTTACATATTCTTCATTAATTTTCTACTATATTATTCAGTGGTACATAATAGAATTTAGATGGGGACGAGACATGCCAATGGATGTTATTTGCAATGCAATTGGAAAACGTAAAATTAAGTAAAATCTTGAAAATTTCCTGTACCTGCGTAGTACAGTACAAATCCTTGTCATCAAAATCAGCTAATACCAAATTTTTGCGTCTAGTCTTATTATGTAATTTCAGCTAAGATTTAATTTAAAAATCGTTAATATTTTATCAGAATATATCAAAAGTTATTTACATGAATATAATAAGGACTTAAAAAATAATAGGTACATCACATATTCACAAAGACAAGTCACAGTCTAGCGGACTATTTAAATAGCGTATGATATTCTGTTGAATATTTTTTTAAATTAATTTCTACATATACTTACAATATAACTGTAGTTTCATACCTATTTTATGGAAGCATGATATAAGGCATACTGTGTTAAAATTTAATGTAAGATATTTATTGCATATATGAATTTGCAATTAAATTATTTTTAAGAGGGATAAAACTTATTTATAAAAATAAGATTCGTTGTTAAAACTTTTGATTAGAATTAGCTTCATAGAATCGTCATTTACGTTTGACCGTTACGGCATTGCCGCCGTTTTCTTTAAAACTTGCGGCGCACGATGAAAAACTGGTGCATGTACATACATACGTATACGTATAAATAACAAATAAAGGATACTCAAATAAAAGAGAAATATTGGTAATAATTATTAATTAAAATTCGTCGAAGTTTAGGGCACCAAAGTACTTAAGATTATTTTATGTTTTATTTTTAACTGTATCTATTCATATACATAACTTTCATCTTTCATCATATATGTACTAATGTAGAAAACACAAAAAAAATATAATGCAGGCTACCAGCATCCATATAAAATGTTCGACCCCCGTTTTATAAATATAATTCTAATTCTATCTAAATACTAAGTTACAATATTGTTTCTTGCTTAACAAATTTAATAAAAAAATAATTAAAAAAAACAAAAGACTAGGGAGATATTCTTGTTGTAATATTTTTTCCTCCTTTTTTCCTATTTCCTTTTTGTTTTAATATTTTAATTATATCTCTATTTCTTTATCTCGATGTCTGCGATCGATTTTCCACATTTCGATACTAGTTTCCAGATTGCATTTTAGACACTTATTTATTAGATATTTTCTTTCATCTTGTTTTACCCTCATATACTTTAAGTAACAAGTGTTGAGCTTTTAATGTAAAGAGGTGATTTAGGTTTGGATATCGAAATTGAATCTCAGATTATATTTATTGCTCTACATTGTGTGTCAATATAATTAGTAAAATATGTTAAATGTGTAAATCCGTAATGTTTTGTTTAGTTCTAAAACAGTCAGCTATACACTCGATACGACTAATTTGTTATTAAGTTGACTAATAAATATAAACACATATACTTACATTCATAGGTTATACATATACATAGGCAATATAAAATTACTTATAACCGTCAAGTGCTCAAGAAAAGTCTCCCCTAAAGAGATCCGCCCTTCTGGAGACCTTTTTTTATGTTGGAAAATGCATTTAAGCATACCACCTGTTGACAATACAAGTGGTTATGTGGGATTCACCGGCTAGAAAAGCCAGTACTATCCACTAAAACCCAATAAAACCTCCCCCGTCTTAATGGGGCGTCGCAGGATCGCTTGCGCACTCAACCACGACACCCCGACGTCAGGTCTCCCGAAACAGACCGCAACGACCATGGGGTTGCTCCAACAGTCCACTCTGCTATCAGAGAAGTACCAGGAGGAACCCGCATGGTTCACCACCCACCGAAGTGGGCCACCTCCCACCAACGTGGGAGGTGAGTTTGTGAATAAAAAAAAAAATATATTTTTTAATTTGAGCAGAGTTTGTCGTTTCTATTTTCGTCAGTCTTGTCACGATGAAGGAAAACATCGTGAGCACCTCGCACTTGGTCTGTGGTAGATAGGGCCAGATCCTCCTTATAGTAAAGGAAGGACCGTGCCCAGCTATGGGACGTTAAAAGGGTTTGAAAATAGACCTTACCTTCGTATATTTTTTGGCATTTGCGATAAAGGTTTTATTGTGTCTGATAATATACATAAATATTTGCTTATTTTTATAGAAGAAATAAGAGCAGCCTTTATATGAAATTATTTTATTAGCCCAAGAAAATTGAGTAAATATAAAGTACAAATAAAATCTATTTCTAAAGTTTGTAGTTGTATACAAAAATTTACCCTTTTCTGGATTAAATGCTACGACTTTTTTTACTGTAGGTATTTATATTCAAATATAGTAGAAAAAAGTATGCAACTGTTATATCAAGCACCGCTTTAACAATATCCTACTAAGATAAATATTTGTAAGGTACATAGAATTCAACACTACAACTAGGTGCTTAAAATATATTAAACCCTACCCTAAAAAGTTTATGTACACGCCTTTGTCCAGGTTTAAAAGTTTAAGCTACTCCCACTTTTGAAATTGTTTATAATAAGAATAATTAGACTAAAAATGTCTAATGTGTTACATACATTAAACTAAAATACGTGTAATACAAGTTTTAAGTATCTATTCTACAGCCATCTTAAGCAAACAATTATCATCTTTAACAAATCAAATTAGTAACTAAAAGAGCGGTAGTTTAATTTCACGCAATTTTATAAATTGGAAATATTATATTATTACTAAAGGGTATTTTAAAAGAAGCGATCGGATTTAGGGAAAGAAAGAAATTTTATTTTTTCTACATAATTAACCTTATGTCACAGCCTTAATTCGGAATCACAATTTTATTCTCTCTAACTTTTCACACAACGATTCATTCATTGCTTTTTAAATATGTATGACGTATGTATAAATATATGTATATACAAATCTCTTGAAGTCAGTTTTAAACACAAATAGTATTAGTAGTACATATATTATAAAATTAAACCTTTTATTATCGTTGTTATCAATTTGAAATGTTATAAAGTTAATTAATTATTCACATTTGTCTTTTTTTTTAAACCGTTAATTAATATATATATATATATATATATATATATATATATATATATATATATATATATATATACATATACATATATATATATACATACATATATATATTTATATATATAATTAAGCTACAATATGGCACCTAAACTAAAATAAAGAATTAAAAAGAAACATCAATAAATCATGATTTTATAGATAAAATGAACATACGTAGTATTCCTATATTATTTTTATTATAATACTTACATTATATATTACTGAAAATATTCGTGTTCTACATAATGTGTGTCAATCAAAAAAGCTCTTACATAGACAGAGAGTGGACTGAGTATTTCTTTGCCAGCCGTCACCTAAAAATGGCGGAAAGCCGTGACAGAGACAATTATGGAGGTTAGAACCCTGCATAGAGACAACGAATGCGCGGCCAGAAGTTTTCTGTATTCATTGAAATACGATTAATGAAGATAGATAATTATAACCATTTTACATTCCATTATACTTATAATATTATATACTTTTTTACATTTCATTTATAAATTCAAATTGGAATAAAAGGCAGGTATTGGCCACACGTTCGCCTTCTCTCTTTCTAGAGAGTTTTTCATGAGAGTATAAAGGTATGCTCAGTCCATTCTCTAGGTTTATGGCGTCATAAAAACCAGCAAGTAGGAAATTAATAGAAAAAGATCAAGCTTATTTCTTTTCCTTAATTAATGTTTGGCACATTTAAAAATATTCAGCTAAAACAGAATATTCTATTGTTATCTATACATTGCTATGTATACTTGATTTTTTATACTCGTAGTAGCAACAAAATGTTAAATAATGAATTATACAAATGTTATGATAATGTATCATACTGGCAAGTATTTTATAACACTTTTTATTTATAAAAATAATAAACTTATCTACTTGTAGAAGCCGTAAAATATTTTAAATCCACTCATTGCGAGTTTCTGGATTATTTATTTCTAAGCTAAACCAAACACCCTTAAATGTACCTATTCATTTACGCAAATTCAAATATGCCTTGTTCATCATTTCTTCTATATGTGATAATACAATGTATACATTGATTGATCCTGATTTCTTGTTGTCTTTTTTGTATATTTAAAAGTATTTGTATTAATTTAATACATATTAACATTTAATATTTACGCATCATAAACTGGCAAAAATATTCATATCGATATCGATTCAAGCGATTCGATTCTTATCGTACAGCACTTAGCTTCCATTTAAGCAGCAAGAAGGCGGCGGTACGCAACACTAGCAGCGTGACAGTCAGCGCGAGGATGTCCCACCAGAACATGTTGGGTGACATCGCAATGTCCTTCAGGAATGTACGGGGATATCTACAACGAAGATTGCATATTTATTAATGCACAAAAATATGAATGGAGTTTGACTTAACAAAATTATGTAATAATCAAAAACAATATTTATTGTTTCTTTTAATGTATTTGTGAAAGTAAGAATAAATTTGATACTGAAATAACGCGCTTATGTAGAAAACATAATTAAAAGTATAGTATATCTACTCTATAAACATATGTAATTACATATTTGATATTATATACTGTATATTATTAAAATAAAACTAACTCTGACTGTCTGTTTGTTAATTTTTCACGGTTGCCTCACACCGTATGCCTCAGCCCAGCTTATATTGCGAATGAAGCCGGGAGCAAAAACTATTGTATTAATAAATAGTACATTATTATCAAGAAAAGGCAGTGGTAGCCCAGTGGTAACGCGCTCGCTTGGAAAACCGAGTGAAGCGGGTTTAAATCCTGGGTCTCGCACCTCTGATATTTTCATGTGCGAATCATTTCTAATACGATTACCACTTGCCTTACGGTGAAGGAAAAACATCGTGAGGAAACCTGCATGTGAGAGAACCTAGCAAGTTTTCGAAAGACATATGAAGTACGCCAACCCGCACTTTGCCAGCGTGGTGGACTGTAGTGTGTATGTGTGTAAGCCTCCCCGATACCTATATATTGTACAATCTGTTATTATTTAGAGAGTATTAAACGAACCTTGGAGCCAAATAGTTGTATTCTTTAGTTCCCTCATTACAGGACTATGGCCTGATCTCCCTCGTATTGAAGGGAGGCCCGTTCCAAGCAGTGGGCCGTTAAAAAGGGCTGAATACATACATTATTATCAACGATGATGAACACTAAAGAGCTTACCTATAATGGCAGTATTTAGCTTCATTGCATTCTAAAGTCGGTCTGTCTAATCCATATATTGCTCCAATATAACCTTCTAGGCCGTATCTCAAGTAAGAGATGTACGACCCCCAGGCGAGATACGGCGGTAGATCCCGTAGCGTCACGCCGAATCCCGCGAACATCATCATTGGCACTGATAGAGTTGGACCGAGGAATGTGCCGTTCTATGAATAAATAAAATGATTATTAAATGATCATAACATTAATTTTACATTTGATTCTATTGTAAGTGCTACATCGTAGGTACGGAGTATTCATGGTTGAAGCGACACGGCGTAAATACTTTTGCATACACTGTGCAACTATAGCGAAGGACTGGGAAAGGGTAGAACGTAGAGAGGCGAGATGCGTACGTCACTTAGTGGGCTTTCGCGTAAGGGTAAGCTTAAGTTGTGAATATGTTCGTTTGTTTAACAGAACCCGATTTAGGAGATGACTAATGTGATAGTAATGAACCTGTTTTTTAGGTTCCATAAATTGGGCAAAGATCCGCCCCCCTCCCCCGCAACCTTCTAAATCGCGTCGTGTCTTTTATGTATCTCTTTATACAGTTTATAAAGCATAATTGCGGATTCAGCTATCGTGTTACATAAAAGTTTTCACAGAATAATACAACAAGGTCTTAACAGAAAGTTTTCAATACTCACAACGACATTGAACACTGCGCCAACCATCAGGCCAAAGCTCTGCGCAACGAGCACCGTGTACACGGAGATCGCAAAGAACATCCCGAACCGCGCGATGTCCAGCGGCTGAGACGACATCGTGTACACTATCACACTAAATATCGCACATGACACTATCTGTAATAATAGAAAATAACTTTTTATCCAAAATGGTACGCTGACTTTAAAATTACTATTAAGTAAAGTAAAGTTATTTTTGTTATTACATTAGAGGTGAAATTTTAGTCGTCAAATTCATATGAGTGTGGGATTTGCGAGGTAAGATTGCGTAAAACGATATGTTAAGGATAGAAAGGAAAGATGAATTAAAAAAAAGAGGATGATATGACATAATGGAGACACGACGGTACGCGTGAACATTGTGTTTTATAATTTAAATAGAATAAATAGTTATTAGTGTCTTATAAACGATTTTATTCGTACTCCCGGATCCTACAAATTGATTCATAAATGGAATGTAAAGAAAATTTAATATTATTGAATACTAGCAGTGACCACCACTTTAATTTAATAGGGTTTGAATTTCGAAAAATTCTATTCTTTTTTATCGGGTGCTTACATCATATAAGGAATACGTCCTCCAAACACGTTTTTACGACCAGCGGTTTAGGCTGTGCGTTGATCCGTCAGTCAATCAGTCAAGACAAAGCATTTTATATACATATATAGATTATAAATAATATTATAATGGAATGTAAAATGGTTATAAATATCTATCTTCATGAATCGTATTTCAATTAATACAGAAGATTTCTGGCCGCAAATTCGTTTGTCTCTGTCATCTTCCGCCATTTTTAGCTGACAGCTGGCAAAGAAACATTCACACAGTCCACTCACTATGTCTATGGGTATAACTTATATACTCAGATTAAAGAATTATATAGATGAATGTGATTTACAGTTCTTGCTACTATTGTAGAAGTTGCCATAAGCGAAATTTTATATATTTACTGTTTAAATCATTAGACAATTTTTTCAAAATTCAATAAAAAAAATACTCTTGCACAAATCAATTATGTGTCAGTAGAAGTACTGTTAAAATGGATTCAACGTTTCCGGGAATTAGGGTACTTAAATATAAACATGCTTATTTAAGCTTTTACATAAGTATAGTCGTTTTGAAATCATATAGACGAGACTTTAATTGTTTAATTTAATCCTAAGTATATTTTTGTAAATGAGTTGAACTTACCGATATGGGCAGATCTACAATTGTTATAGAGATGTAATACGAGCCCAGAGAATACCATCTGTTGAAATGTTCTTTAAGTAAGATTGACATCTCAGATGGAACTGAAATTAAATGAATGTAACATAAGCCATGGAAACAGAAGCTTTGCAATTGGTATGTACCTTAGATTAAGAGTAGAATAACCTACGTATTAAATATGAAAATCCTATGTCCTTCCCAGGGTCTCAAACTATCTTCATACCAAATTTCATCTAAATCGGTTAGGCGGATTTTCAACCGACTTCAAAAAGGAGGAGGTTCTCAATTCGACTGTATTTTTTTTATGTTTGGTACCTCAGAACTTCGTCATTTATTAACCGATTTCGACAATTTTTGTTTTGTTTGAAAGGGTATACTTCCAGATTGGTCTCATTTAAATTTAAAAAAAAATACCACCCCTAAGGGTGGAAAAATAGCTAATGATGAATTTAACCTACTTGTAATTGTCATATTGACTTGAAACTTTGCAAGTGTTTCTATTTCCGTTGATAGTACAGTGGTTCGGTATTGTTGACCTGATATGATGGTAAGGCCAGAAGGTGGATAGGTTTGGTTAGGTAGTGAAATAACCGCTAACGCTATACCAGACTCGCGGGTTAAGACTCGCCAATTGACAAAATTATATTTTTTCACAATTTCAACTTGCCAAAAGGACCTTCCCAAAATTCGTCGCCAGCTCTCGGAATAAAGTGCCTAACAGTAGTCAATTGTTACTCTAGGTCATAGTTTATCTGTGCAGTAAATATCATCTAAATTCGTCCAGTCGTTTTATCATGAAGACATAGACCTTCGATTCACAATAGCATTGTTGATCGAAGACATAGACAAATACAAACAAACTTTCGTTTTTAAAAAGTAGCATGATCGTCAAAATTTTAAACATTAACAACAACTTACATGTGAGAATAGTCAACATCATCGGAGACATCATATGGTGCATCAGAATGGCGAACAGTAAATTGTAGTTTTCCAAAACTCTAGAGCCCTCGTTGCCCGCGTTGATGAAAAGCGCCCCTAACATCACGCCTACTACTACGTTCACTGCCAGTCGGAGGTGGGTCATCGTCTAGAAAGATAAACTTTTGTAGAACTAGTTCTGACAGTATGTAGCTTATATTGTTCAGGATAATAAACTTTTTGTATTCATCGAAATTAAGCGGAATTAAATTTTAAATATTATTTGTAAATTTTCATGACTTTAATTAATTTCAACTAATTTCATAATTGTTTCAGTTATTTAAAAAGGCCACTTACTGGGTCACGTTTAGCTTTTAAAAATCCTCTCCTTATAAGTACAGATCTTTGATTCGATTGTGACGTTTCTTCTTCCCCAGTCCCTGTATCTTGATCCCTCAACACGCTCAAAGGGATTTGCTTTCTCAAAGCTTCCATAGTCGCTATGCTCTCGAAATCGTCGAACCAATTCAGTGCTTTGCCATTTTCCGCTTTATTGTTTAAAATATTTATTTTGTCATCACCATATTCACCACACGCTAACTCTATAACTGAAATGAGATTATTTAAAATTTATATTTAAATAATTATATCTCCTTTAATAAGTTTTTTATAAAATGTATTTTCAATCTAGCTGACCCAACAGACATAATCCTGTCCAAACATCAAAAAAAATCCAATTATCCTGCTCGAATTTCCTGATTTTCCGGGTAATCTTACCATTCTTTTCTAACAAGTAATATATTTTTAATTGTTTGTAATTAATGAGTAATTACAAATAATTTTATAAAAATATTAGCCAAATCGGTCTAGCCGTTTTCAAGTAATGCACTTACCAGCGTACAGCATTTTATTTTTATTAATAAAAATAGGTACATACTCGTATATCATTTATATTAAGTATTTTTGTATTATATGCTGTAGAAAAAATCTTTTCTATAATTAAAGTATAAGAGTTTTATACATAACTTAAAGTATATGGTACTTACTGTAATCTGCTGGATTGTGGTATATGGGACAAGGTACTCCAGCTTCATCCAGATACGGCACGAGGTGTCTCGTAGTGCCCTGATACAAACATTTTCCAGCAGCTAACACGTACACTTGGTCGAATAAAGCAAACAGCGAGGCAGAGGGTTGATGCACAGTGCATATGATTGTACGTCCCTGGTGAGCGAGGCTCCTACAAAGCTGTACTACTTGTGTACACGATGAACTGTCTAAGCCTCTGAAATTATTAAAAATAACTTTGTTATCCAAAAATTTAAATTACTGATCATAGTAAATTTTTCAATTCAATTTTCTTACGCTTTGGCCTATAAACTATTTCTATATAATACGTGAAGACAATCCTTTACTCCAATCCTGCATTTTAACAGGTTTTGTTGAGTTTGTTTCTTAATATAAACTTCTGCATTCATAATATTATAAGGATGATTCAAATTAAAGATTACCAAGTGCTTATAATAATCATCAGTAATATTATACAATTCTACGAGTATTATGAAATCGATATTATCGCTCTAAAAGAGAATACGGAGGAAGTTTTTGGCAATAATAAAAATATAATAATAATAAGGAACCTAATAAACCCTAAGACCTTCTATCTCAATAAAGATCTGAAAAGAAATGATAGTTTCTTAAAGTGACTGGCCTCCTTGGCTTCAAGTCTAAAATCTTTCATCTATCAGTCTTTCAAATTATCATCTATCTGTATAACATCGAAATAATTAGCGGAAAAGTTAAAATCATTTTTTTATCAACACTGCTAAATCATAAATGTATCGAGTGAATGTTAGAATTTCCTATTATGTCATTGTTTAAAAATAAATTAATTATAATTTAAATAATCAGGTATAAACTAGAGTATAAAACGAAAATCCCGTTCGACTTACGTTGTAGGTTCATCTAGAAACATGACGAGAGGGTTATTGATGAGTTCTAATGCAATGGAAAGTCTCTTGCGTTGGCCGCCGGACAGTTGTCCTCCGCGAGTGTTCATGTGTTCATACAGCCCTAAGTTCGTCAGAATATCTTCTATCTACAAAGAAATGATTTGTTCATATAACTAGCGTTTGCCCATAGTTTCACCCGTATTTTTAGTGTTCCGTACCTCAAAAGGAAAAAAGAAACCCTTATAGGATTGATAAACTATGTCCGAAATACATTTTGATATCAACAAAAATACTTTTGTATATTAATCATTTATAGATTAAATCTTTTGGATATAGGAATTATAAAATAATATTTTTATCATAAGAATTAATATTTAGTAGGTACTGCACAATCTTATTTATGGGTGGACAATGGACATGATAAACAAAATTCAGACAAAAAAATTCTACTTTCTATAAATAATATATTATTTAAGTAATATTATTCATAATTATTTATATTTAAAATTTTTGGATTTTTTTCATTGAATGTATCCTTAAACTATAACCTTCATTAAACAATGTTTTTATTGAATTTGTAAGATAAACAAATCAGGGCCGTAGGTTATTATATAAAAAAACAAACAATTGTAGATTTTTTATGCCACAAATACACTGTTAAGTTTGTGTAAAACGACAAAGAGACAGCATAAAATGATCGGTTATTATAAAATTTACAAATGTAACTTGATGATGGTGTTCTCCTGACCGATTCCGGTCACGGCGGCCAATCTCATTAAGACTAGCCAATTGCGCAGGAGATATTATAGTGCACAAGTGTATGCACAAACACAAGTATACTCTTTATTCCCGTCACTCTCATACTCCGGTGGGGCGACCACTCGACACGACCTGTGAGAGTTAAGGCGCAGAACCGACGGCTTTACGTACTCTCCGAGGCACGAGGGTGAAACACCGCCAACTTCCCAACTCCGGGCTGTTACTGAGGCTTACTATACAGAAAGACTCAATAACTAAATTTGGCCCGACCGGGACTCGAACCCAGGACCTCCGGGTGTGCAGCCGTACATGCTAGCCACTACACCACCGAGGCAGTTAAAACTTTTGTTTGTTAATTTAAATGTAACTTAATACACTATTGGATGAGTTAAAATATTTAATGTTGACAAGATGATTGTTCACAATTTGCATATACTCGTATATCGGAGGGGAGTTTTCGCCGGACAAGACATTGCACTGTGCAAATCAATCTTTTTTTCTACTACTAATACTTATACACCTTTATATATTTTTGGTACAAAATTTGTCAATAATTTGACCAAATAATAAAAGTTGCATACCATCTGTAAATAAAAGGGGATGTAACTAAACACGAAAATTGTTTATGCTCTTTAAGCTCTTGTAGCGTGAGCTTTGGATAAAAAAAATTCAAAAAATGATCTTACGACTTCTCCTTTCTCGTACTTGTCCATTTTTGTGGGTAGCTTCAGGTCGGCGGCGAGAGCCATATTCTCGCCAACAGTGAGCAACCCTTGCAGCCTGTCGTCTTGTTGAATGTAGCACGACATCTTCTTAAACCTTTCTGAAAAACATGTTAATTACAACTACACCATGGTGTTTGAAATTTGCATTCTAAAATTAACTTAATATTCACTAAATGTTATAAAATTGAATAAAAAAAACACAGTTTTGTTAATATTATTTTGCTACTTTTTCTTTTAATTTTAACTCTAACATTTGAAAAAAAATTCATTCATATTTAAACTGAAAGAAAACAATTTCAAAGATATTGTTACATTAGTATCTTTACTTACTCATAACTCTGCCTCTTCCATTAATAAAGATAGCGCCACCAACCCCTGTGATCTTATAACCGGAGAGCACATCTAGCAATGTGGACTTTCCTGCGCCTGAAGGCCCCATGATAGCAATAAGCTGTTTAGGCCGAAGTCTCCCGTTGACTCCATGGAGGATTTGTTTACTTCCTGTAAAAAAGGATGTAGGGTAAATAAGTTAGCAGTAATGATAGGTAGACAATGTTAAGAAGTAGGTATATTAGTAAAAACGGTAGGGAAAATTATAAAATATGCTATAAACGTACAATTTCTATATATACATAAAATGCTTTGTACTGACTGACTGACTGATCGATCAAAGCACAGCCTAAACTGCTGGTCGTTAAAACGTGAAATTTGGAAAAAATCTTACTTATATGATGCAGGTATTCGCTAATAAAGGATTTTTCGAAATTCATCCCCTAAAGGGGTAAAATAGGCGATTAAAGTTTGTATGAGACTGTCATTCTTAATGTGAAATACATACATACAAAGTGGTATTTAGCTTTAAGATAAAAAATAAGAAACATATTTATTTATTTTTTTGGGAAATTCATCCCTTAAAGAGATAAAAGGGGGTCATAAAGTTTATATAGGGGAACAAATGTTTATGATCAGAATTACTTAAAACTTAGTATTAATACTCTACACTACAATTAAATAAACATGTATTTTAGAATTTTTCAAAATTCTGCCTCTAAGGGGATAAAACTGGGCAGTGAAGTTGGAGTTGGTTGAATAAATTTAAACAAAGTAACATGGCTCAAGTTCTCCGTAAGTGCAAACTTTGTGTGGGATATAAAATAGAGAACGGAAATTATTCCGAATCCAAAGAAAAATTATGTATGACTACTCGGCATGCCACAGCAATGTCAACTATAATAGACCTAAACCGCCAAGAGAAAACCTAGATAGATACTTCCGTGCTCTCTATATCCTCCTTCTGAAGGTTAGCACACATGCAATGAAAAAGTCACCTAAGTATTAAATATTATAGCGGCCACTGTGTTTGCTGGATCTGCTCGGGGGGAATCAGTATTCATACCCCGAATACCACTATGCGTTTAAATTTAATCTATAGTAATTCCTCCTTAAAGTTTGCTTTACAAGGGCCATTAATATATCTTAGGGCCAGTCGTTGAAAGTAGCAGGCATAGATTTAAAAAACTTTTTAACAAAAAAATAAAAACCGACTTCAAACAAAAGTACTAACCTAACCTACCTCTTTTAACGTCTTTTAAAATCCTGGATATTTTGAGTTACGATCGCTAAAATTAAATTTGTTTTCCATATATCTTTAGAAATAATATGAAACACGAACTTATTCTTGCAAATAATAAAGTATGTATTTCGAAAAACTTTCTTTTTTTTTCGTAATTTGATCGCGGGCGAAGCCGCGGGTTCTGCTAGTAATTACATATATATGTACTTATTCAATGGTTATTATTTGTATTCTATCTATATAGCCGGTTTTTTACGTCCCACTGCTGGGCACGGGCCTCCCGTCAGTACCAGGGGGGAAGGCTATAGTCCACCACGTTGGCCAAGTGCGCGTTGGCGGACTTCACATGCAAAACGAACAAAAACTTCGTTTGAAAACTTATAGGTTCCCTCAGACATACAAGTTTCTTTACTGTTTTCCTTCGCCGTAAGACTAAGATATTTTTTACCAATATTAAATTGCTTAGCGTTTTATTTTTAAAATTTCCTTATAGAATTATTCCATGATTAAAATACATAAAGAAAAAAACACGTCTTTGGCCAAGGCCAAGATTTTACTAAAAGTTATTGTAGAGTTCTAATATCCGCCCGATTTCACATACCTACTAATAAAGTTTCTACTACAATTATTTTTAAATTTTAGCAGTTTTTCAGACATTGTCTGTTGTTGTTGTTGGTTGTGAGGGTGGTTGGAACAAATACACATTTCGAAAATGTAAAGTGTTTCTATACGTTATAGAAAACGTATAGTTTTGTGATTTAGTTATTATTAAAAAACTGATGCACTTCCTTGAATTATTTACGCCGCACTAAGGATTTATTTAGTTTTTTAGAGATCAATTTGGATTTTTTCTATCGAGGAAACTACAAGTAATCGTGTAAAGTGTACGATTTATAAAATAAATCCTTAAATATCCTACACATTAATTGCATAATTAAATATTTAGTAATAACAATACAGCAAGGAATCAAACGAACGCAATTTTTCTTGTCAACCTGCATTTGTTTTATTTTATATTGTTTTAAAATAGATTTTGTAATTAATGTATTTTTTCTGTGCAATTATTTTTACCCTTGTTTTTTAGTCATTTTATTTTATTTTTATATTATTAGCAGCGCATGTATGTAATTTGTTAGTCAGTGCTATGGACACCTGTAAGTGAGTAACATACTAGAACTTGTTATTAAGAATGAATAAATTAAAATGTGTTGATGTTGTTCATGTTCTTTATAAATAAAAAAAAGCAGTCATGAAGACTGCCGATAGAAGTAAAAACATAAAACTATAGACTAAACGTTGTTATTTTTGGATATTCAAATTAAAATTTGTAAATTAAAACTGTGTACATTTATCTGGTTTTGACATCTATCGGCACTCTGAGTGTTAGCGTTAACACGTCACTTGACTATTTCGATGACGACTTACATGAACTTACTCCCCATCCAAGCCTGTCTATAGAAGTTTTCATTTCAATAAAAAAACTATAATTTATCTAAGTCTATAACACTATTAACCTATAACTAAGTTAATATGAACTTATAAGATTTGAATGCACAATAAATTATTATTAGTAAGTTTGTTTACTTAAGCTAATATATCGTGTCAAAATCAATCTGTGACAAGAATAATAGGTAGGTAGTAGTTTGTACTTCCGACACGCCACAATGACTTATGTGTTGTATGTTTACATCGAAATTGTAAATACCTACGCTTCATTATCATATTATTTACTGTTTCAAATACTTTAAATAATTTTAGTAAATAATAATATTGAAGCTTGATAATGTAGTCAATTAAGGAATGAGATCAAACATCGTCTCTGTGACGCATTTTATTATATTTTTATGTAGATACATCTATAAATATTCTTGTTTATCCGATAGCGATGTAAATGGTTATGAATGTCCACGACAGATGCCTTTATGTACAATATGATACTCGTAGGTACAACTAGTTACAAATACAGTAGTTTACGAGAAGTTTTATATGTAGACTAGCAGTACCCGCGGCTTCGCCCGCGTCCATACTTCCGATCGCTAACAAAATTCACAGGATCACCCGCTGGACTAATCTAAAGATTACCTGAAAATTTCAACAAAAACGCTCCAACTGTTTTGGAGTCCATAGGAAACATACATATACACATCTATTTTTATTTTATTTTAATCTGCAATTTAAATTTATTTATTGCTCGGAAAAAAACTCCATGTCTTTTATGAAAATTTAGTGACAGACCGACTGCAGCGCCACCTACTGGATCCATTTGTGAATTCAAACCTTGCAGAGACCCACTCGAACATACACCAAAAATTTTTGCTTGCTTATATACCCACTAAGTCAGTATAAAAAAATCATATAAATAGACCACGATGCCCAGGAGCTGCATTCATTTCAATACGAACTGTCGAAGAAATATTATCAAAATGGAGAGAAACGAAATTAGAGCAGTCATCAAGTACTTCTGTTTAAAAAAAATGTCTACCAAAGATATATACAGTGACTTAGAGGAAACATTGGAAAACTCTGCTCCTCCATATTCCACAGTTGCACGCTGGGCCAAGGAGTTTTAATTGGGCAGAACATCCACCGACGATGAACATTGCGAAGGACGCCCATCTACGTACGTCATTGAAGATAAAGTGAAAAAAGTCGAAGATATTGTGTTGGCAGATCGAAGAATAACAATATGGCATGTAGCTGAGGTCACAGGGATCTCGTATGGCAGCATTCAAAAAATCCTTGTGAATGACTTACATATGAAAAAGTCTCTGCGCGTTGGGTACCGAGAAAGTTAACCGACGAGCAAAAGAAAAAAACGAGTCGACGTTTCGAAGGCGATTATACTTTACAGATTAGAATTTTTTTCTATCACGTTTCGTAACCATTTTTTTTTAACGTTGGGAAATGCATTTACGCACGAGGTGTGGGACTCACCGGCGTAATAAAACCATGGTTGAGACGTAGATTCACCATTTTATCCTGAACAATCGATGACTTGGAAGCGAGCATTCTCATCGACACCGAAGAAATTCAAAGTGTCAAGTTCGGCGGGATAGGTTATGGCGTCCGTTTTTTAGGACGCTGAAGGAATAATTGTGGTGGGATATTTGAAAAAGGTTGCCACTATTTCAGGCTCTTACTATGCAGATCAAATAACAAAATTGCGGGAGGCCATTAAGAAGACAAGACGCGACAAACTGCGAGCTGGAGTGCTGTTTCACCAAGACAACGCTCCGGCTCATACAGCCGCAATTGCGATGTCTGCCATTCACAAACCTCTCTCCTCCCTACCTCTTCCATCGTCTCAAAGAACACCTCCGAGGCAAGAAATTTGAAGATGATAACGAAGTGATGGCCGCCGTTTTGGGAAAGTCAAGACAAAGTTTTTTTTTCTAAAGGAACCCTGGGTTTAGTGTATTGACTTATTAAGAGACTATGTAGAAAAATAATTTATTTTTTTAACTGTAATCATCATGTTTTATTTTCATTATCATTCCTAGTATAATTAATACAATAAAAGTGGTTCCATTGTACATCAATTATTTCCTAAAAAAATGGTGTCATGGGATGTTTGATATTTTTTTTTGTTGTAGATTGTTCGAAATAGATAAAATGAGAAAACGGTATTAATTGTTTCATAACTATAACATTCAATACACCCAAGCCCGAGTCTCAAATGTAAATACTGCTCAAAAATAAAATAATAAATTTTACAAAAAGCGTTTGCAAAAACATTCCGTAGAAAATCAAACGGCAAAAAAAAACATTGAACTTCGTAGCTTGCAGACAATAACTGCAAACCTATACATATAATAAAATTGTAACGAAGCCGAATCTGTACATTAAAAATATTTCTTGGAAAATCCTATTGAAATAAACATTATTATCGATACAGAGGCCAAATCCATAGATTTTAAAAATTTTGTCT